TGGTGGAGGCCCCGACGCCTGGCCTGGCCCAGCCCAGGGGCAGCCGACACCCATGATGCTGCTCTCCGTCTCCCCTAGAAATGGCTCATGCAGTCGGTATTTGAGCCTGGCCCAATTCTAGGGTCAGCTAGCGGCACTCATGTCTCTGGGGAAAGATTGAGCCACCTTAGGGCACTGGGAGGGCATTCCTGAAACCCCCAGGACAGGCTGGGCCTGGCCTCTACAGGCCTTCAAGCCCTCAGATGACCAGGAGGCAAAGTCAGCCCCCATTTTCCTCCCTCACCTCAGCTCTTCCCTATGCTGAGTACTCTGCTGGGAGAACAGGAGAGGGGACCTCATGGGGACAGAGCCCCCCATCCATGCATCCAGGCTGAAAGCATTTATTGAACACCTTCTATGCACTGTGTCCTGTGCAAGGCACTGAGGAGGTTATGGGTCAGACCTGACACCAAGGGCAGCATCAGCCCCCCTTGGCCATCCAACAGGGCAGATCCACAGCCCGGCACAGGAGAAAGAGTGAGAGCCAGCGCCTGGCTTGCGATCCAGCTCACTACTTGGTAGCTGCAGGGCTCTGGGTGAGTCACTTCTTTTCCGCAGGCCTCAGTTTGCTCATCCATAAAGAGGCCAGGCACTACCTGACACCAGGGTGAGCAAGCAGAAACAGTGTGGGCAAGGGCCAGTGATGCTTGGGGTCCAGCTCCTTCCAGCCATGCCCAACTCTGGCACCCAGCCCTCCCCAGGAAAGACCCTAGGTTCTGGGAGAGCAGGGGTGGGAGTGGGCCGGGCCTCTTGTGCCTGGAAGGGGACAGCTGTTGTGCCAGATGAAGGCAGGGGCTGGAGGTGGGCATTGGTGCCAGCCGGAAGAGGTTTCTCAGCTTCTTCCTGGAAGCTGTCCCAATGACTCACAGCCATGACAGCCCAGCAGCTCACCCCTAAATCCCTGCCACTGTCATTTCAGCCTGTCTCCCCTCATTGCATTCTGAGCTCAGGGAAGGGGGTAGGCGGCTGCTGTGGTACATCCCGTCCCTTGTAAATGGCAGGGGCTCCATCCATCAGGCTGGCCTGGCGCCAACAAGCCCTTGAGGCCTGGACAGTCCCCACTCCAGCCAGTAGGAGGACCACCAACTCCAGCAGCAGGAAAGGCCATACACATCCACCAGTTTATTGTACCCATGAGGAGACAGTCTCCAAGTGGGGCAGAGATTTGCCCACGGTCACAGTGGGTGTGGCTCGGCCTGCTCCCCAGTCTGTTCCCCCTGCCCAGAGAACCCCACGTCCCTTCACCTGAGGCCAGGGCCCAGCAAGGCCAGACCAGGCCCCCTAGACTGGATACAGAGGGAGTGAGTGGAAGCCCAGCTGGGAACAACAGGCTGGCTCTGTGCCCCCACGTTGCAAAGGGACTAGGGGTCTCCACCCTTCTCTGAGAGGCCAAGCCTGGGTCTGAAGAGGAAAGGATCCAATGTTAGGCTCATCTCCTTGTCCCCTCACTGAGGGGCACCCAGGGCCTGCCAAATGTGGACCTGGCCCACCGCCAGTTTCCAGTATCTTGGCGCCCCCTGCAGGCCAAGAGCGACAGGTGAGACTGGCTCCATAGGAGACCCCTTCCCTCAGCAGCTCAAGCTGGGGGGCACCAAGGCAGGGCCAAGCAGCCGTGACAGCCCTCTCACTTTTACATGCAGCTTCCCCCTGCCTCTCAGCCATCTTCCTGCCCTTGTGTCTCCTCCAAGAGGCTCAGGCTCCTGCCTGGGCCTGGTCAGGACACTACCAGTCTCTGTGCATCCTCTGGGCAGGACCTGGTAGAGAGGAAAGAAAGGGACAAGGAGGCCCCTGGGAGACAAAGAATGCAAGGAGAGCAAGTGGAGGTTGGGCCTCCTCAGCCTGAGCTGCCTACCTCCCGCTTACCCACCTGTGCTACCAGGGAAAGGAGAGAGCCTCCCAATGACACGGCACCTAGGACGTGCTAGCTGAGAGCCAGATGCATTCCCCATCAAATCAAGCTAATTCCTCGACAGTCCATTGGGTTAGAAACCATTATCTCCATTTACAGATGAAGAAAGCCAGACTCAGGCCCCATAGCGGCAGTGAGGCGGACAGTGGTGTCCCAGAGTCAGTGCTCCCTTGGGCTCAGAAGGAAACAGCACCAAGGCTTCCCCAAGACTGCTCTCCAGGCCAGCTGCACCTGGGGGAATGTTAAAACCTCACATGCCCACCAAGCCCCTCCTGAAGAGGGCACAAGCACCTGCACTTTCAACAAACCCTGCAAATGTTTCCTATGCACAGCTGGTTTCTAGAACCATCGCTCTGGTCCAGCCCACTTGCCAGAACGACAGAACCTGGATGCTGCTTGCGCACCTCCAGGGAGGGGCAGGTGGCCCACCAGCAGCACCTTGGCCGGCATCCTCAGGTCCAACAAAGCCAGCTCCCAGCAGCTTCTGCCCACAGTGGCACTTCTAGTCCTTGAGCCACATAACAAAACTTTGTTGTCTGTACCAAAGGCTGTGAAGTCAGGCAAAACCAGGCTCAGGTCCCACTCTGCCTCTTATTGTCTGTGTGATTCTGCAAACAAGGCAAATTATTTAACCTGTCTGTGCCTCAGTTTCCTCCTCTTTAAAACGGAGGCTCATTGGCTTGCCATGAGGATTAAACGAAATAATGTAAAGTACTTGGCCCAGCCCTGACTAGTTCCATAAAAGTTAACTATTCTCATTGTCATCGTCATAAAAATTTCCCATACTTTAACACGACTTTCTGTGTGCTTTTCCATTGGACCACCTGTTCGTTTATTCCTTCATTTCAGCAAACAAATGGCGGGCTCCTGCCTCATTCCTCAGCCACATGTGAGAACGTCTTTCACACACAGATCCCTTTCGCTTCTGACAGCAGTTCTTGGACTTAGGTAGAACCAGTGTCCTGTTACAGACAGGAAAACTGAGGCCCAGAGAACTGTGACCTTCCCCTGATCCTACCTCAAATAGACATTTGTGCAGCTTCCCCTATAAGATGCAACAGCCTCTTCACCTCCACCCCCAGAAAGCCCGCCCTTGGGAGACCCAGTTTGCTGGACAAGCCCTGGGGGAGGCCTGGCTCGCTGCAGAGTTGTGACAGAAGGATACTAACTTTCTTTTGTCCAGAGCCCCCCACCTGTGTGGCTGAGACTGTAGAGAGAGCAAGGGCCTGAACGTCCTCCTGGGGAGCCGTGGGAAAGCCCCTTTCTATCTCTAGGCCTCAATGAGCTTGCCTATAAAATGAGGGGTCTGGACCAGACCACCTGTTGGAGAACCCTCCTCAAGAGTGATCCTTTGCACCCTGCTGCTCCTGAACTAGGAAGGCAGTCCCAGGCAGCCTCACTCTGGGAGGCGATCAGATGGACCTCCCATTGAACAGATGGGAAGGGCAGGCTTTCCAGAGTCATGCTCAGCTCTCCTCCCGCTCAGGCTGCCACTTCTGCACCTACTATGTGCACTTGGCCCTGACCAGGGACGTTGGGGGAAGGTAGGGGCAGGCTGAGTGCAGTGGTTAGAACACAAGCCTCTGGGTCATCCAGAGGACCTGGCCTCCAATTCAGTCTGCCCTTGAGAGCTGGGTTACCTTAAGCCAGTTGCCTCTTTGAACAGTACCTGGTACATAGTAGGTGCTCAGTTAATGTGAGCTCCCCTTCCTAGAGAGGGGGAACTCTTTTTCCTCACATGGCCCTCCCCCAGCTCTGTTCCCATATCAAAGAACATTTTTATGTTTTGCTCCAGGCCCCGTAGCCTCCTGGTCCAGATCACAAAGTGTCTGTTGTTAGATGGGGCAGAGCCTTCTTGGGGCCCTCGACTGTTACCAAGGAGGACAGGAAGGAGAAAGGCACACTTGTTTAAAGCTCAGCCGTGGCACTTGCTGCAATCTGTGTCACCTTAGGCATGTCACCCTCTTAGCCTTCATTGTGAAATCCATAAAACGGGCATAGTAATCACCGCTCAAAGGTTTGGGGTGAGGATGCCACAGGATCAAGTTCCTGCCACAGTGCACGGCACCAAGTAGGTGGTGAATGAACAGTCCTGCTCTCTCCTGTCCTCCACTGAAATGGAAACATTTGCAGCCCCTCTCCTTCACGGGCCTGGTCCCAGAGTACCTTCACATTAATTATCTCATTTAGATTGTGATCCTTGCAATAACGCTATGAGGAGCTAACGACATCACCCATCGTCAAGCTATAAAATCTCAAGGGGCAGAGCGGAGAGCATGGCACACTTTGTGAACGACCATCACCATCCCAACCCTGCCACCGCCACCACCACCCACGTCCTGACCATCCCCAGACCTCCAGCCCTTCTCTGCCCTCGTTGTCGCCCTCCAAAGTGCTGCAACAATGACACTGGTCTCCAGCTGTGGTCCTGGGACATAGCTGGCAGTGAGGATCTTGGCCTTGCAGCCAAAAGGCAGGCATCAGTCACTGGGGTCCCTGCCTGGGGTGGGGAAAGAAAGACCCTGGGCAGACCATGGCTCCAGACTCCCAGCTAGAGGGCATCTCTACAGGGAGCAGTTGGAGCCCACAGGCCAGGTCTGGAATAACTTCCGGGGCACAAACACTGGTGCAGGGGCCACCCAGGCCAGGGAGGGATCCCATGGGGGCTCTGCCAACTCCCCAGCCCCTGCCCTGTGCTGCTGTCTGCTTTGCCTGACTTGAGATGGAGGCCTTCTTATGAAAGAGACCACTTCCACCCCCCAGCCCCAGAAAGCCAGGCAGAGGGCCTGTCACTGGATCTAGAGAGAAGTCGGCAGCCAGAACCAGTCGCTGGGACAAGTCAGTGCCGAGACACCTGGGCCACGTGTGGCATCAGCCCATCCTGGGCATGGGAAGAAGAGGGGCGGGTCTCAGGGGCGGAAGCCCTGGGGTGGGCTCTGCATCGGATCCACCTCCTCTCTTCAGGTACCTGGCCAAGCTATCATCGGTGGGGAGCATCTCGGAGGAGGAAACGTGCGAGAAGCTCAAGGGCCTGATCCAGAGGCAGGTTCAGATGTGCAAGCGGAACCTGGAGGTGATGGACTCAGTGCGCCGTGGCGCCCAGCTCGCCATCGAGGAGTGTCAGTACCAGTTCCGGAACCGGCGCTGGAACTGCTCCACCCTCGACTCTCTGCCTGTCTTCGGCAAGGTGGTGACTCAAGGTGAGGGAAGGGCATGAAGGGGCTATTGGGGGAGCTAGAGGAGCCTGGGTGCAGCTCCAACTAGGGAATGAGACACTTGTGAGGGGCTAGGCTATTCCAAGTCATGCTGAAGCCAGAACAGCACAGCACACAGGTGAGCATAGGATGAATGCAGAGCGCTGGGGTGCTGGGACAGGGGGATGATCCAGGTGGGGCGAGTCTGGGGTGGATGGGCCATCCAAGGAGGGTGCTGCTGCTTCATGCTTGTGCAGCACTCGACAGTGTGCAGCACTTTCAGTGCTGGTCTCACGGGAATGAGAGCAGGAGCTACCATCCTTGTTTGATGGAGGAAGACACCAAGGTGCAGGCAGGGGACTGGACTGAGTTGCCCAAGGCTGCTCAGGGGATGAGGAGCAGAGTCAGGATGCAGAACTGGGGCTCTGGACCCCCAGCCCCTTGCTGTTTCCACGTTAGCTCTCGGCCTCGAGTACTGGAGCCCATCTCGGTCATCTCTACATCTGACCAGCTGGACTGAGCACTTCCAGCATGGCCAGCCCTGAGGTCTAGGGATGAAGGGTACCCAGCTCCTAGGCTCTCAGGCTCAGAGTCTAGCAGGGAGACAGATAAGGAATAACCACCGCACAATAGGAGCAGTGGCTTCCACACCTACAGCACCCAAGTATAGGCCAGACACTGTTCTAAGTGTTTTAAGTAACCATAACTCATCTGGCCCTTTGAGATAGGCTTCCAGGGGTCTTGCTCTTGTCCATGATGAGAAAACACCATGATGGAGGGTACAGGGGAGCCTGTGGGGGCACAAAGGTGGACACCTTCCCTGGCCAGGGTGAGGTGCTCAGGGAAGGCTTTCCTGAGGAGACAGGCCCTCAGCTGAGACCAAAAATATGAGAAGGCATTAAGCCAAAGGAAGGCTCCTTGAAATTCAAGGCCCTGCCCTCGAGGAAATGCTCTAAACCAGCTGCCTCTTTCTACTTCCTGAGCATGAAACTGACACTTCTGAGCCCCCAACAGTCTTACAGAGCCCTTCGACTTGCTCAGACAGCAGGAAGGGGTTGCCTGGGCCAACCTTTGTCTTGGCACCTGTGGTCCTGGGTGGCCAGGGCTGCTAGGCTTATGGCAAACCATTTAGATGTTGTTGGAAACCAACTGTGATAGAAATTTGGAAGCCATTCTCCTGGGAGCTGGCAGGGGACAAAAAGGCATGATCATGCTTGGCATTGCTGAACGTTGCTGCTGAAGAGGAGAAGCAGAGACCCAGTGAACAGCCTGGTAGTGAAGGCTCTCGGATGACCATACCCCTGCCAAGGGCCCAGAGCTGCCTGAGTGATTAGGCCCCAGAATCAGTCTCAAACAGCAGGCCATGAGTTCAGGAAGCCCCTCGCACATAGTAGGTGTTCACTGAGTGTCTTTTGGATGGATTGAAGAATAGATCAGCAGAGTTCCATATGCCAGGCTCTATCACACCCCCACGCCTTTTCACCTGCTGTTTCCTCTCCCCCAAACATCCAGGTCCCTTTCCCACCAGCTCAGCAGTTCTCTCCTGCACAAAGCTTTCCCAGCTCTGTCCAGAGAGATTCTGAAGCTCTTTGTTCTTGCTGGGGAGTTTTCCCTTTTTTTGTCATTTTTTGCTTTGATATAATTTCAAACTTAGAGAAAAGTTGCAAAAATAGTGCAAGGAATTCCTATATTCTCTTTACTAAATGCACCGACCGTTTACATTTTAACCCATTTGCCTTCTTATTCTCTATTTATATATAGATATAGACATAGGTGCACACACACACACACACATTTTTGCCTGAACCATGTGTTCACGCTGCTTTTGTAACACCTTTTAGACTGAAATGTGATGTCTCCGCTCCCGACCCCCCTCCCCCATCACTAAGTCTTGAGCTCTTCAAAGGCAAGGGGACACCTCCTTTACCTGTTTCCTGGCACATAGCAAAGCCTGGCATGGAGGAGACAGTCAATGGAGGTCATCTAATGACAGAAAGTAGGTCGGGAGCAAGGACTCAAAGAATGAAATAAGGGGGAGGCATGGGCCAATGCTGGCCTGAGCCAGTGCAGGTAATCAGGACCCCGCCAAGAAGTACCTTCCTTCCCTATGGGGCAAGAACCAAGGAGGTTGACCCAGCCCTGGCTCAAGTTCTGGGGGACACTAAGAATTCCACCAGGCCTGGGTTGAACATGCTCTGGACTGAGTGGCTTGGTCAAGCATCATCTCTGGAGCTGAGTCAAGATAGCCTGAGACCAGCCAGTCACACCAGGCAGACATCAGTCGTGTCTAGAGGAGTCTGAGCTCTTCCCACTCACTCATCTCCTTTTTTTTTTTTTTTTTTTTTTGGTAAACGGTAAGGGGATCGTGACCCTTGGCTTGGTGTTGCCCGCACCGCGCCCAGCCAGTGAGCGCACCAGCCATCCCTATATGGGATCCAAACCCGCAGCCTTGGCACTCCCAGCGCCGCACTCTCCCGAGTGAGCCACGGGATCGGCCCTTGAGTTTTCTTCGCTAGTAAAATTGCTCTTGGAAAATTCTTAATTTGTCTCCACTGAGCAAGAGGAAAGGGGGACATGTCCATCCTGAGATCTGAGAGCAGAGCGCTGGCTCTCGGAAAATCCAGGGGTTGGTTGAGAGGCAGATCACCAGCTACTGTCCTCTCCAGCAGTAGCACAGCCAGTGGGGCAGGTCCCTCTCACAGTCCCCAGCTCCCAGGGCTGGGGTCATGGCCTCAAATACGGAGGAGGACAGTGCTAACAGATCCCCCAGATCCAGGCCGTACTTAGGGAAGACAAGGAGTCCCCATTTGCTGAGGATCTGTTGTGTGCTGTCTTGGATCAGATTGTCCTCACGACAACTATGAGTTCGCAGTGTTCTCCCCATGTCACAGCTGAGAAAGCAGAGGGTGATGACACATTCAGAGCCTGGTCCTGACACCTTATGGCTGTGAGATCTTGGGCAAAGTCCATGCCCTGTCTAAGCCTCAGCAAACTCCTTCCTGTAAAACGGGGGCAATCCCAGAACCAACCTCCTAGGGCTCCTGTGAGGATTCAGAGACAATGCTTATGGAGGGCTAGGTGTCCACAGACACTGGTGCGGGGATGCTTCCCTGCTGCCAGCATTGCCCAAAGCCCTACACCTCCAACTCCAGACCCTGTCCTCCCACCCACCCCCACTCCTAGGCTACAAATGCATGACGGATGGTGAAATAATGGTGAACAATAAGACTAATGTGCAATTTAAGGCCAAACTGTGTGCTCTAGGCTGAAAATCTTCCAGAAACAGTAAAGATGGCATCCAGGGCAGCCAGGAATGGGAGGTGAAGGTTCTTGGTCAAGCAGGTTTTAAGGGCCAGATGCAAGACGGCCTCTGTTTCAGTCAATGCTTAATCCCAGTGCCTAGAACAGCACCTGCACATTGCAGGCAACTGATAAATATTTGCTGAATGAATGAGAGGGCTTAGGGTAGGAGGGAGGCCACAGAGCCTGGCAAAGGAGTGTTGGCGTCTCAGAGTGGGCCAGCCTGACCAGGACGGGGAGAGGGAAGAAAGGTGACAGAACCTCCTCTTCTGCTTCCCTCCATCTGCGGACAACACCGGGCCTCCTCCTGCCCCATCACGTCATCACTGTGACCTTGATCAAGTCCCTGTCCCAAGAGACAGGCAGTCCCTGTGGCCCCTTCAGCAATGACTGCATGGCTGGGAGTGAGGACTCAAATCCAGGCCCGTCTGTCCCCTCCCCATGTGTCTGAACCACCCAGGACACCTTACAGACCCTAATACCGGGCTGGACTTAAGTAAACACTCCTCAGTCCTGGGCAGTGCCTCACTAAAACCTGTGTTCTCACCTTTGTCCTCAGCATTGGCATCACGTTGGACCCAATGAAGGGGAGAACATTCTTTCCTTCTGGGTGACCTCTCTGGCCAGCCTTTTGATGCCATCATATAAGCTGATGATGAAGGAGATCAGGGAGGGGAGAAGGGGGCTGTATACCCCAGAAACACTCCCACACTAGGAGTTCCTGGAAGCTGCAGAGGCCAGACACACACGACAGCTGGAAGATAAAACCATCTACGGTTGATTCTGATTGCGAGAGCGCCTGGAGTCCTGGGAAGTCTATGACGGTGGGAAGGGATGCAGGAAAGGTTCAGGGTCTGCCCTACCAGGACAGCATTAACCTCCCCACATTAGAGTTCGGGAAATGAGACTGGGAGAGGAAGGTCACACCACTAGTGAGAGTCTGACACAGCTTTGTCTGGCTCTGGAGCCTTAATCTTTCCCTGGTCCTACACTGTCTCTCAAATTCAAAGTGGCTTCCTGGAGGTCATTTCAAGAAAAGGTGGGCTTTTGCAGTCAGAGGGGGAAATAGAGGAAACTGGAGAGGCTGGGGACAGGGATAGAGGCTGACGGATGAGGGATAAGGTTTTTCTGGGAGACTAGTGCCTGTCCTGCCCACCTCCCTAGGGCTCCCACTGGATCTGCTTAGTAACACTTGAGTAGTGCCCATTCCCTGCCTTCCAGCAGGGCACCCATCCTGGCACCAGGGTATCAGCATGCCCATGGCTTCCTTGCCAACTCAAGGAACTCAGCTTCAGCTGATTCTCCTCCAAACACTCCTTCCTACTTGAATGTCCTTCCTTCCAACATCTGGGAGGGACATTGCACGTGATGAGATCTGAAGAGCGTGGGCCCTGAGTCAGGCCTCGGTTCCAATTCCCGCTTGGCCATTTGTTGCCTGAGGGACCCCAGGCAGGCCACTGAGCCTCACTTTTTCTTCCATAGAGCAGAGCTATAGAGAGCTGATTGCTAAGGTTGGCATGAGCCTTAGACAGCATATGGGAAGGCCCTGGCACATAGTGGGTCCTCAGAAAGAGTAGCTGTTATTGGATCTTCAGAACAACTCCAAATTCCCAGCCTTAGCAGTTTGGAAAAGATGTATTGAGACCGGACCCAGAGGACACACAGGATTTAGACCTGTGGAGCAAGGGAAGAGGTGTGCTCTGGGAAGAAGAAACAGCAGGAAGAAAGGAGCTGGGTGTGGAGAGGGGCAAATGGCCATGTGGAAAAGGAAGAGGGTCACAGGGCAGTCACTGGCACCTTAAGAGTTCTGCCTTACCCTGGCCCAGGAAAGGACAAAGTGACATTGCCTTCCTCCTGCAGCTGGGGCAGGCAAACCCCCTGACCAGGGAGCAGTATTTACCACCTTGCTGGGGCACTCCCCGCTGCTCTGCTCCCAGGTATACCACATTATTTTCTATGTCTGAGCAGCCTCTGCAGAGAGCAGGCCCTGCTTGTTCCTCCACTAGCAAGCAAGGCTCCAGCCTGGGCACCTGAGCAGAGGTAAGAAGCCAGGAGGGGCCATAGCACTGGAGTCAAGAGGCTGGGACCCAGGGCCAGTTAGAGAAGGCTGGAGGAGATGCTGCCATCAGCCTTAGGCACACAGCTGATGCCCACATCCTCCAGGCCCTCTGGGGCCCTCTGTGCTGAGCACAGAAGCCAACTGCTCACCATCCCCAGTAAAGCACCACAGAAGGGACTGGACTTGTCCTACAGCACACGATATTTAGGATAGACCTAAGGAAGCCCTTCTTGGTTTCACACATGGGAGGTGGGAGGAAACTGACTGCACGTGTATTTCCAGGAGCTCAGGTCTACGTGAGGCAGAATAATGTCAAGGCTGAAAGCTCTGGAGCAAGGCTGCCTGAGTTCAGATCCTGACTCCACTGCTTCCTGGCTGGGGATTTTTGGGCAAGTTACTCACCACTCAGTTCCTCAGTTTCCTCATCTGTAAAATGAGGATTAAAAGAATCAACTTCATAGGGCTGTTATGAAGAATTGTATTAGTGTTGCTATAACAGAAATACCTGAGACTGGGTAATTTATAAATAACAGAGGTTTATTTGGCTTATGATTCTGGGACAGCTGCATCTGGCGCGGGCCTCAGGCTGCTTCTACTCATGGCAGAAAGTGGCAGGCAGATGGCGGGTACAAGCAGATCACATGGTGAGAGGAAGCAAGAGAGAGAGAGGAGGTGCCAGGGTCTTTTAAGCAACAAGGTCTCGTGGGAACTAGAGAGAGAACTCACTTATTACTCCCCCCACCCAGGGAGAGCATTAATCCATTCATGAAGGATCCGCCCCCATGACTCAGTTTCTTAATGCAGAGGAAGCATGACAGTAAATCTGATTCTGTGGAGTTAGCCCCAGGGGCCCTCTCCCCAGCCTCTGCTGCTGTCTCCTGATGGCCCCTCTCCCTCCCCTCCCCCACAGGCTATCCTGACGCACATGCGGGTAGAGTGCAAGTGCCACGGGGTGTCGGGCTCCTGTGAGGTGAAGACATGCTGGCGAGCCGTGCCACCCTTCCGCCAGGTGGGCCATGCGCTGAAGGAGAAGTTTGATGGCGCCACTGAGGTGGAGCCACGCCGTGTGGGCTCCTCCAGGGCACTGGTGCCACGCAACGCACAGTTCAAGCCACATACAGATGAGGACCTGGTGTACTTGGAGCCCAGCCCAGACTTCTGCGAACAGGACATGCGCAGTGGCGTGCTCGGCACGAGGGGCCGCACATGCAACAAGACATCCAAGGCCATTGACGGCTGTGAGTTGCTATGCTGTGGCCGTGGCTTCCACACAGCACAGGTAGAGCTGGCAGAACGCTGCAGTTGCAAATTCCACTGGTGTTGCTTCGTCAAGTGCCGGCAGTGCCAGCGGCTCGTGGAGTTGCACACGTGCCGATGACTGCCTGCCAGCCCTGTGCCCGGCAACCACCTAGTGGCCCAGGGAAGGCCAATAATTTAAACAGTCTCCCAACAACTGCCCCAAGAGATACTGGTTGTATTTTTTGTTTTGGTTTGGTTTTTGGGTCCTCATGTTATTTATTACTAAAGCCAGGCAGGCGACCCCAAGGGCACCAACTGGGGCCTCCCCAAAACCCGGGCCTTTGTGGCTGCCTCTGACCAAAGGTATCTTGCTCATGCCTCTGACTGTGCACATGTGGCTGCTGCTGACCACTCAGTTGTTAATCTGCGTCCATTTTTCTACTTGCAGACTTAAGGTGGGTAATAAGTATTACAGCCACATGGCTACTGACCCTGACATCTAGGGAAAGAGGTGGTCCTATGACAGGGAAATAGGTGCCTCCTTGATGGAAGTCACAAGGAAAAAGAGCTCGCAACTCTCCACCCTACACATACACCCCACACGTGACCCCTGGCAGCTTGAGCTTGGTAGCCTTGTCTCCCTGGAAAGGGAATGGGCAGATATCAGGCCAAGGGCAAAGAGTTCGTTTCAGCCCTCACAGGAGCAAATGGATGTTCAATCTCTGTGGGACCTTCCAGGTGGGAAGAACAGGTGAGGTGAGGGCAAGAGAAGGCTACAGTCCCACCCCACCTCGGCCCAGCCTTCCCAGCCTCCCCTCTTGGAGAGGGAAACTCCCCACTCCCCAGTCCCTCCTAGGCAGATCACGGCCAAACCCTTGCAGTCATGCCCCCAACTAAGTCACCTCCTCACAGTGCTGCTCCTCTGCAACTAAGAATGGAAAACACACACACACACGAAAGGGCTGTGCAGTAAAGTCCTCTCCCATTATCATACTCACTTAACACAACTCTCTGAGCAAATACTATGTTCTAGGCCCTATACAGCGCCATCTCACTTGATGAGCACAACAGTCCTAGGAAGCAGACAAAACAGGGATGCCTGTGCCCATTTTATAGCAGAGCTAGGCCCCACAGCAAGCTGGATGGAGAGGCACAACCAGAAGAGCCCTCCAGCCAAGGCTCCACCTTGGCTCCTGTACTCAATGGCACAGGAACTGCAGGTCTCCTTGGGTCTGAGCCTTGGGGAGAGGGTTCCGGCTAGAGGAAAGGGGGCAGAAAGCAGCAGGAGCCCACATGGTTCCTGAGGACAGAACAGATTCACAGGGAAGAGACGAACAGCTGAAAGCCTGACTGATGATGTCTCAGCAGCTTAGGTTCCCCCACCCCCAGGCCCTCCAGGTCTCTGAGGTCCCAGGTACCATGCAGAATGCGAAAGATTCCCCAAGAGATAGCACCAGCAGCCCAGGCCTGCCCATCAAGAGCCAGCCAGACCATCAAGAGCCTAGCCCCAGCCTTCTGTGAGCAGGACATGCACAGAGCAAAGGTGATGTCTCAGCAGCTTAGGTTCCCCCACCCCCAGGCCCTCCAGGTCTCTGAGGTCCCAGGTACCATGCAGAATACGAAAGATTCCCCAAGAGATAGCACCAGCAGCCCAGGCCTGCCCCTGTACACCAGCCAGACCATCAAGAGCCTAGCCCCAGCCTTCTGTGAGCAGGACATGCACAGAGCAAAGCTGACCCAACTGCCTCTCAGGTAGGCTCCCAATTATCAGAGGAACTGTCAGCCCAAGTCTCCAAGATGCCCCCACACTGTGGCTCCAGGTTTGAGGTCTTGAGCTCTGGGATCCCCATTTGGGGTTCTCAGACTCCAAGCCCTTGGCTCCTGAGTTCAGTATCTGAACTCAAAGTCCCAGATTCAGAATATGGGCTCCAGTCTATAGACACTGTCCTCCAGGCCTCATGGCTTGTGCCTCCCAATGTTGGCTCTTTCATGAAGACAGGGTCAACACCCTTGACTCCTAGCCATAATCTCTACCATTGTCCATGTAAGAAGGAGATCACAGCCAATTGAGATGCTGTAGCCATACTCAAATGTCAGGATGATAATCTTGAGGCAGGCTGGCTCTCAAGTGGATGAAACTGAGTCAACTAAGTGTCCCCACATTGCCCAGCTGTACCCACTGCTTCTCTGACAGGCTCTGTTCAGCTGTCTGCTCAGCACCAGGGAAAACACTACCCCTCACTGGCAGAGGTGAGACCCAGACAAAGGGAGTAGTGGAGACCCCTCCCCTCCAGAGACAGAGCGGACCTTGGGGGAACAGTGGGTCCAGGCTGGATGCTGGCACAATGGGTACTGCCCCAGGCAGAAGCCAGAAGGTCTATGACCATTCATAGGCTTCACCTTTCTGCCTGCCAGAGAGTTCCTCAAAGCTGATGCTCCTGGGCTTCTGAAGGTTGTGACCTAGGTGAATCAGACCAGATTCTAGGAACCACTGACCAGCCTTACTGCCACTGCCACTGCAAAGGCCAAAAGAATCCACAGCCACAGGAAACAGGAGCTTCCTTAGACATGACCAGCTCCAAACTGTCCAAAATAAGAAATAGGAGGAACTGGTACAGGCCTGACATAGCCCACCCACTCTTGGCCCCACAGGAGTCTGGAAGTTGGCCAGAGGGTCCGCCTCCTGCCCAAACCGCTCTGCAGCTATCTTGTCCTAAGGCAAAGGTGATGTCCTCTGAAGCCTAGCGCTGGATAAATCCCAGCTCTGGATGCTGCTACCACACTCTGCTGCCCCCACCCCATCCTCCAATTTTTATACTAGGCTCCTTGCCATTGTGACATCCCCATGACATAGTCTGATGCACGATAAAATGATTATTTCTTTGTCTTACAATTGTGGCAGTGACTTTTTCTTATAGAACAGGGAAAGAGAGGCTTGGAGAAGGACATGGGAAAAACAGATTACTAGTAGCAAATTCTAAGTATGGGGACGCCCTTTGCCTTTCTCATGAACAACTGGTTTGTGGGCCAGGGACCCACCTGCTGTCTGAAATTCCACAATTAACACACAGAGGCTGTATCTGCATTTTATTGAGCCATAACCAGCTATTTACACCTTGGCTTGAAAGAGTTGATCAGAATATTCATGAGCGCTGCAGTGGTGAGGAGGGTCTAGTAAAGTGGGTGCTGATACAGGAGGTGGGTGACAACAGAAAGAACTTAGTTCCTGTCCAAGGACATAGGAATCCAAGGCCCATGGCTAGAGGTAAACTCCAGGATTAAAACCCAGTCAGAATAGGGAGTCTGGATGGAAACTTCCTAAAACTCAAGTCAAAAGCCACTGCCAAGGGGACTCCCTGCTGATGGGGAGACACAGGGCAGCTTCTGAGGAAACTCCATTCTAGCTGAGTGAAGTCCTCATCCCTACCAAGGAGGCCATGGCCTGAAACCCACTCCCACTGCAGCACTGGGAACAGTTAGCTTGCTATGTGCTTGGCATTCCAAAAGTTTACTGTGGTCAAGGGCTGAAGGAAAGTGCTTTCAGGACAGAAAGGGTACACATGAATTTGTAAAAATTGGGGTGGAGGTGGGGAGGTAGATAAAGGGAAGGGATAGGGTCTAGAATATGGGTGGATAAAACAGGACACCTCATCACTTCTTGGCCTTTTGGCTAAGATCAAATGTAAAAAAGGGCATCTCATCCTCAAATCAGGGTCAAAGGCAGAGAGGGGACTAGTGATACAGAGGGTCCAAGAAGGCAGAGCAAAGTGAAGGTATCCATGCCCCACTATTTTCTAGAACTGTGAAAAGGTGGTAGGCTTTAAAATCAGACAGACCTGGGTTTGAATCCCAGCACTGCCATTTCTTCACTATATGGAACTGTAGATAATTCATTGTCCTCTCTTGTATTCATTTCTTCATCTGTAATATGGGGCTGCTCCCCACCCACCCACACACACTTCAAATGGGGCTAAGTAAGCTGGCCACTTGGCTCAATTGGTTAGAGCATGGTGCTGATAACACCAAGGTCTGGGGTTCAATCCCTGCACCGGCCAGGCAACAACAACAAAAAAACAGAAATCAAATGAGGCTAAGTAATAATTGAACATATTTATTAGGAACTTTAAGTAAGATAAACTACGTAAAGCTCAACAAATGACAACTCTGATTATAAATATTACTATTCCCTTTTCAGGAACGTATGAGGCAGTTAAGGTAGTTATAAGATGAAGGGGACTGGGGGGGATGGGGAAAACAGGGGACCACCCGAAACAGGTTAGAGGCTGAGGCAGGTGTCCCAAGACTTTGGCCCCATCCCAGAGATCAGAAGCAGGCAGATGTCCCAGGGTGGAGTCCCAGGCAAGAGGGCAGAAAATGTCAGGGGCCGGGATACCCAGGCAGAAGCAAGTCTAGGCAAAGCTACTCCTGGGCACCAGCGGGAGGGGCCGGGCTGAGGTCCCAATGCAGGTGAGCAGCAGCATGAGGCCAGAGAGCAGGGGCCAGGGAGGGCACAAAGTGGAGTGTGGTGTCAGAGCTGCGGTAAGGTTGTGTGACAGCTGGGCCCCACCTGGGGGAGGCAGGCTCTCCACCCCCTGCAGGCTCTGGGCTACACAGGCCCCAGGGCTGTGTGCTGTTCCACCCTCGGCAACTGCCCTAAGAGACAGGCCGGAGGTTTTGGGAGAGTTGTGAAGACACAGTGACAACATGACATCCTTCTCAGCCTCCTCCCAAGAACAGCAGCACACTGGCTGTCTGGGAGTACTAGAGGCAGGGTTGGAAGCCAATCATGGACCAAACAAGGGCCATAGAACATAGGAACACAAGGTAGAAAGATAGTATAGGAGACTGGGCAACAGAAGAGGGCTGAAAAAGGCTAGAAATAGAGTGAGGAGAAGGCAGAGGGTGGAGGGACAGACAGGAGAAACAGGGAGAAAGATGCAGGAAGGAAGAGGAGGCACTGAGGGGAATCTAAAGGCAGTGAGCGAGGTGAGGGCGTCTGGGCAGAGGAACCCAGCAGCCTCCTAGTAAGAGAAAGTGCTGAGCTTCAGGAGAAGGCGTCTGATTCAAGAAGGGGAGTGGAGGGTGCAGGGGCGGGAGTTGGGGGGGGTCGTTCTCCAAGGTGTGGGGGAGGGGTGTGTGGAGCATGGCCTGGCCAGGCCAGGCAATGACTTCACAGGCATCTCCCCCCATTCCTTCCTGAGCAGCCAGTCCTGGTGACCCCCTGCCCGCACCTCAAGGGTCTA